CCTGTGTTGCTGGCGCGCTTCTGCAGGATGTGCTATCACTTGCCGAGTTTCTCGCTCCTGATAATGCTGGTGGCGCTGAGGCGGCTGATTGTTGTGCTGCAATCTCGAATCATGTTGAGGCTGCTGTCGAGTTGTTTGGCGCTGTGCGGTCTGCTTCTGCTTTCGGGAGCGCTCATCTGGCAGGCCAGTTTTAAGGGCGGCTGCATAGCTGCTTGCAGCTTGAGGCATTGGCTGCTGGTGTTGCACTTGCTGACGGAATGGGTTGTGCTGCGGCTGCTTCTGCTGCTCAGAGGGCCGCTGTGGTTGCTGCTGTTGTGCCTGCTGGCCCTGAACAACTGGAGGCCGAAGCGGTTGCTGCTTTGGTCGTCCCTGTTGCCTACCACAGCTAATTGGAATGGTGGGTTCTCCAAGCTGAAATAGCAATCTATTGGCTCTTTGTAGAACGGCAGGTTCCCTCTTTTTAGCATTGTTTTTGAAGAAGATGCAGCCCCTGTAACTAGCAGCATGTGGGCCCTTACAATTAGCACATTTCGCTTCTGCACTAGGCGCCTTTCACAGAGTGTTGATGGGTGCTCTTGTCCGCACTTTACGCATCTAAATATGCGGCGACAGTAATTTTTTGTGTGTCCAATCTGTTGGCAACGGTGGCACTGCACAACATCCGTATTTCTTATTGGCTTTTCGACTTTGACTCGCTGGCCTCCCAGGACTGTTAAGTCGAAAATTTCGTTATTGTTCTTTTTAGGCTCAAGCTCAACTTGAAAGAGATCAAGAGGCTCGCCAGAGAAACGCTTCTTGATAACATTTACAAATCGAACGTTGTGTCCCTTGTCACTAAGCTTCTGCTTGATCCAGTCATTAGGAGTAGCTCGGTGAAGGTGTCTAATTACTACTCTGAAGCCACGGTCACTGCTCAGTTGGTAAGTATGGGACTCAACACTACATTCTTCAAAGAATCTTACTAGTGCGCGGTATGAGCTAATGTCGTTGCACTGAATACGAAGTCCGCGATCCGAAGTCGGTTTGGTGTGGTAGTTACCCTCTCCAATTAAGTCATCAATGTCCTTTAGGAATGGGACAATATTACCGTTAAGTCCAGGCACGTAGAGCGGTTCAGGCCTGATCTTAACATTGCTGGCAACGTCTGGAACATTGGGTTCTGCGTTAGAGTTATTTGTTTACCGTTCGACACAAGGGAACAAACGCAATGTCGGTCTGGATTCCAGAGCCCAGCTCCATGCCTGGTTGACAGACAGAGAAGTGGGGACTGGGATCCAGACTGTTTTTTTTTTTTATTCATTTAATACCTAGAGTACTTACAATGAATTAAGTGACATGTTATATACAATTCAAGTGAAGTTTCCCAGCCTTGGCATGGGGATTGCTGTCAAATTAATTATTTGAGGATTGGGAAAATCCCCAATTGTCTGGAAGCTACCCAGTCTGATAGCCGTTGCATCTGGATGAGCTGGAGCCGCCAGCGTGACCACCGTTGATCCTGCCGCCAGATGCCATTGGTGTGGGTGCTTGAGAGACGTAGCATCAAGGCCTTTTTCCATTGTATGGGATGTCGCAGTCTGAATTTCTGTAAGTAGGCAACCCTTTGGCAACGAGTTGTATGAAGCCATCTGATTGGTTCGTTAGCGTAACGCAATCTTTGCTTTATCTGCCTTTCAGCCAGTCGCAATTGGATGAGTTGCCGTGTCCTGCAAGTAGTCCTAGTCTTAGGCCCTCGCTGTGGTACAAGTACATAGAGGTTGGCTGCCATCATGAACAGTGTAGCAAGTGTGCACATGGTGTTGCACACTGCTTCTTGATCCGCACTGGTGGCCACGTCCCGCTGCGTCTGTGGATTTGGATGCGAGCTTGGTGTCTCTGGACTGGGAGGAATGAGAGCTCCTGGCCTTGTAGTGGTAGCGAGAGTTGAGCACAGCTGTATATGAGACGGGCTGTTTCGTCTATCCTGGAGGTAGTTGGGCTGCACCACTGTTTGACTTAGCAGTTCTTGTATGTCAAATACAAGGTAGTCTCTGAGACTGGGTGGTCGTGGGAGCGGACGTGGCTGCCCATGAGAAGGTAGCTGGCCCTGCTGTGACCGCTGCTGCTGTGCTAGGCGACCCAGAGGTAGGTGCTTCCGAAGCATTTCAGCGTATCTTCTTCTGACACCTAGGTGACGTTGTGGGAGTCTTGCTTTAAGGGCAATATTTTTGGCTTCATCGTTGCTGTGGTTGCTGAGCCGAGCCCAGTACCTGGAGCAAGCATCCTGATACATTTTTTCCACCGGCACGACCTTCAGATCAGTGTGGATGCTTTGGTTTCGCACGTACCAAGGTGCTCCAGCAATGGTTCGCAATATCTTGTTTTGCGCAACTTGAATCCGTTCAAATTGGCCTTCGCATAGAAGTGATCCCCAGACCGGAAGTGCGAACTGCCATATTGGGGCTATGAGCTGCTTGTAGAGTGATACTTTGCATTTTAATGGTAGCTTGCTCCTTTCTGATATTAGCCAGTGCAGCTTTTTGGCCCTGTCTCTAACCCTGGCGACAATGGTGGTGACGTGGCTGCTCAAAAGAAGCTTTTTATCGACTTGCACTCCCAGGTATGAAATCCTTTCTTCTGTGGTGAGCCGTTGATCCAAAATTCTTGGGGAAAGAATTGGCATCTGCAAGCTTCTCCAAGTGTGCATTATGTGCTTGGTTTTGGTAATGTTGATGCTAATGCTCCACTTTTGTGTCCATGTTGTAATGGTGGCAAGGAACAGATCCAAATTGGCAATGGCATCTTCTTGCAAGTTTGCCGATGACAAGATGGCCGTGTCATCGGCATAAGTTGCCAGCATCAGTTTGCCGTGTCGTAGCGGTGCAGGTAGGGGCATGTCGGATGTGTATAGGGTGTACAGTACAGGCCCTAAAACACTACCCTGCGGAACGCCGGCGCAGATTTCTTTTAGGCTGGAATGCGTACCTCCACAGCAGTCCACAATGAATGTGCGTTCGCTTAGATAGCTATTCATAACTCGGTAGAGGACTTCCGGCAATAGCTGTTTGAGCTTGAATCGCAGTCCGTCATGCCAGACACGATCAAACGCCTCCTGTATGTCCATATAGACCGCAGAGCAGTATTTATTGTCCTCGTACGCTTCTAGTATAAACTGCGTAACTCGACCCAATTGTTGTTCAGCAGCATGCTCACGTCTGAAACCGAATTGGTGGCTCGGAATTGCATTGATGATGTTGTCCAATTGGAACATCCGGCGCAGCAGCAGTCGCTCAAAGATTTTTGAAAAGCCAGCGAGCAAGCTTATTGGCCTGTATGATCCAAGCTGATCAGAGGGCTTGCCTGGCTTTTGGATCATTGTTATTTTGGCACATTTCCACTTGCAAGGAAAGTGTCCAAAGCGTAGGATACCGTTAAAAATAAGCACTAGGTACAGTACAGCTGACTGTGGCAGTTCCTTGATCGTGCGATTATCGATTCGGTCAATCCCCGGAGACTTTTTTGTTTGCAGCATTTTGATTATAGCTTGTACTTCCCCTAGCGTGACTGGAGGGAAGCAGAGTTCACCTTGGGCCACAGGTAGCGATACTTGCATCTCGACATGGCTCTTGTCAGAGGGCAGCGTGGTGATCATTGGCCTAAACCTTTGTTCAAGGTGCTGCGCAAAGGCTTCGGCTTTTTCTTCGGTGGTCTTGCACCACTGGGAAGTCCCAGCTCCCTCAGTGTGCTTCCTCACTGGTAAATTAGGTGCGGGCTGCCTTTTGATGTTCCCCGTTAGCCGCCATAACTTTTGCATACTGTATCTATCCCTTGCATCGATAGATTCCAGCAACTCATCAAGTCTTCTCGCCTTGGCATGCTTGATTTCCCGGCTAATGTTGTTGGCTAATCTGTTGTGTGCTTGCCTAGCAGCCGGGTTGTGGTATGCCTGTATGTGGCGTTTAATCAGCCTCTTGGCCTCAATCATTTGTTGAATGCGCCTGTTGATTGTGTAGTTATATTTTGGTTGCCCTCGGTAAGGCTGGTGAGTTAGGTTTGTTGCAAATTTCGCTGCAGAGTGGATATTATTTTCCAGTATGTCTACCGCATCGTCAATATCTTCGCCACAGTGAAGCTCAGTGTTCAAATTGATGTGCATGTTTAGCCACAATTGAAATTTGGGTATGCTCGCATTTGCTGGAAGAAGATGACACTTGGGTTCGCCTTCTGCTGGCTTACTCAGTAGTTCAATCAGCAGCGGCAGGTGATCCGATCCTAAGTCATTGGATGTGCTTATTTTTAGCAGACCATACTGCACACCTTTATATACTGCGAAGTCAATGGCTGTCGGGGACTGCCGCGCATTATTTGGAAAGCGCGTTGACGAGCCAGTTGCCAGAATGTCAAGGTTTTGCTGCTGCACACTTTCAAGGAGTATATTACCCCTGCGATTTGATCTGCTGTTGCCCCACCAATAACTTCTGGCATTCCAGTCACCAGCAGCAATAAATTTAGCACCAAGCTGTCTAAATACGTAGTTGAAGTCTTGAACCAGCCAATGTTCCCGCGGGGGGGCAGTATATGGCCGCAACATTAATGACTGAGCCATTTAGCAGTGTAATTGCAACTGGCGCACACTGAATTTTCTCCAGGGTTGTCGGCATGAGCGCTATGTGTTGGATTGTGCGCTTTACTAGGATGGCTGCACCTCCACGGCGGTTGTTAGATGGGTGGTTTGCCAGGTAAGTGTGGTATCCCCTTATATCAATAGTTTCTGCATCCCGTAGGTAGCTTTCAGCTATTAACATTATGTCGATTTCGTTTTGCAGCATAAATAACTCCATCTCTTCCAGTTTATTGTGTAGTCCTGCTGCATTCCAGGCTACAATTTTAAGGGCGTTGGTGTTGAGTCTGGCATATATGTTATGCCCATTTCTCTCTGAGGAGGAAGTGATGGAGTTGGCGTCGTGGCTAGACATTTTGGTTACCATTGACGCGCTCATGGTAGACATGAGAGTGCTTACGGTAGCCATCATACTCGTCATTAGATCAACTAATCTGTCAATTTTACTTTCCAGGTTGCTGTTATTGGCAGGGGCAATTGCGCTCCTTTGTTGTTCAACCATTATGTTGATCAGCTGATCAAGTTTTCGGCTGAGGTCATCTCGCGGGTATGCAGTTCGCGGTGAGCTGCGGCTGCGGCTCCTGTGTTGCTGGCGCGCTTCTGCAGGATGTGCTATCACTTGCCGAGTTTCTCGCTCCTGATAATGCTGGTGGCGCTGAGGCGGCTGATTGTTGTGCTGCAATCTCGAATCATGTTGAGGCTGCTGTCGAGTTGTTTGGCGCTGTGCGGTCTGCTTCTGCTTTCGGGAGCGCTCATCTGGCAGGCCAGTTTTAAGGGCGGCTGCATAGCTGCTTGCAGCTTGAGGCATTGGCTGCTGGTGTTGCACTTGCTGACGGAATGGGTTGTGCTGCGGCTGCTTCTGCTGCTCAGAGGGCCGCTGTGGTTGCTGCTGTTGTGCCTGCTGGCCCTGAACAACTGGAGGCCGAAGCGGTTGCTGCTTTGGTCGTCCCTGTTGCCTACCAGAGCTAATTGGAATGGTGGGTTCTCCAAGCTGAAATAGCAATCTATTGGCTCTTTGTAGAACGGCAGGTTCCCTCTTTTTAGCATTGTTTTTGAAGAAGATGCAGCCCCTGTAACTAGCAGCATGTGGGCCCTTACAATTAGCACATTTCGCTTCTGCACTAGGCGCCTTTTCACAGAGTGTTGATGGGTGCTCTTGTCCGCACTTTACGCATCTAAATATGCGGCGACAGTAATTTTTTGTGTGTCCAATCTGTTGGCAACGGTGGCACTGCACAACATCCGTATTTCTTATTGGCTTTTCGACTTTGACTCGCTGGCCTCCCAGGACTGTTAAGTCGAAAATTTCGTTATTGTTCTTTTTAGGCTCAAGCTCAACTTGAAAGAGATCAAGAGGCTCGCCAGAGAAACGCTTCTTGATAACATTTACAAATCGAACGTTGTGTCCCTTGTCACTAAGCTTCTGCTTGATCCAGTCATTAGGAGTAGCTCGGTGAAGGTGTCTAATTACTACTCTGAAGCCACGGTCACTGCTCAGTTGGTAAGTATGGGACTCAACACTACATTCTTCAAAGAATCTTACTAGTGCGCGGTATGAGCTAATGTCGTTGCACTGAATAGAAGTCCGCGATCCGAAGTCGGTTGGTGTGGTAGTTACCCTCTCCAATTAAGTCATCAATGTCCTTTAGGAATGGGGCAATATTACCGTTAAGTCCAGGCACGTAGAGCGGTTCAGGCCTGATCTTAACATTGCTGGCAACGTCTGGAACATTGGGTTCTGCGTTAGAGTTATTGGTAGGCATAAGTGGGGGTATATGTTGTGGTCCCTCAGGCCTGGCATTCATATTGATAGTAGCGATGTCCTCAGCATCTGTTTCAGGATTTGGGTTATAATCGGCTGAGGGGTAACGTCCATTGCTTCAACGTCCACATCTTCATCTTCCAAGGACACCGTTTCAACATTTTCATCTTCATTGGCTTTTTTCTTCTGTGTCCTAGGGCTTTCACCACCAGTGACACGACGTTTCGCTGCACTTTTTGACAAGTCTCCTCTTGTCGTGCTTTTAGATAGTTTTTTCTCTAAGTGACGATGTCTTGCTAGATCTAGCCGACACAGAGGCATCTGTTCCACTC